CAGCCGGCGCCGCGCCGTGGGGACCCCGGGGAGCCGATGGTCCCTTTTGGGCTGCGCTGGAGCCGCGGAGGGGGGGGACGCGGCTGAGGGAGAGCAGAGTGGAAACGCCATTAAGTGGTCAGTGCGGGCGGGGGAAGCAGAGGAGGGATGGCACACTGCCGCAGGGTGTCCACCGGCTGCCGGGTCTGGTGCCAAAGGGAGACCGGGGCTTTAGCAGGAGCAAGCGCACCCTGCAAACAGAGCGTCGGGCAGAAGGCAGGACCTCATGGTTCTGAGCTAAAACCTCCTGGCCTTGGCGATGGCGTGGCACCCCGACAGCGGGCAGACTTCCAGCCATGTGCCACCCTGTACTGACGGTGGGAGAGGCACGGTGGTGGCAGCCTGAGATGGCAGCAGAGGCCATTTTGTCCACAAGGCTACCTTTGTGCCCCGCTGGAGAGCCCGACCCGTTCAGTCACGGCTTCATCTCGCAGTGTCCTCATAGTCGGCTGCTGTCCTCATCTCCTCTGTCCCAGCCCGTGGCTGTTGTGTTTGGGGGCTGCCAACGCTTCTCTGTCCCCTTCACTGTGCTGGTGACTGCTTGTTGTGTTTGGCATCATCCTCAGCTCAGGTGACGGCCCAGAAAATGCTGCTGATGCCAGTGCCAGCTGAGTGCAGAGTCTTGTCCCAGCTCATGTTTGAGTCAGCCATGACCTCTTGCTGGTTCCTCGAGGTCCCAAGTCCCCAGCCCCACTGCTGGTTTGGGTTCAACAATTAAATATTTCTGCCTTTGTTGTCAGCATCTCCAAGGAATACTGCCAGATCTGGCAACCCCCCCCCACTCACACCCTCCTTCTTGCTCAGACTTGACTTTTGCAATTGTTTGCTGGATGTTTTTCCTTCCGCCTCCTCCGGTCATCAGCAGCCTGAAAGACTGGCAGCAGAGTGAGGCAGGTCAGTGGTGACCGGGCTGAGGGGCTGCATCTCTGGGGAGTCCTGCATGGTGGCTCCCTGGTAGCTTCCCCCCATGGGGCTGGGATTTTCCCTCCTGCCAGTTCCCTGCCACGTCCCCGATACTGGGCACGCGCTGGCAGCTTTTGCCAGCTGACCTGGCACCTCGGGAGGGGGAGGCACTGGCTCATGTCATCTGCCAGGGAGGTTATTGGCACAGAGGGCTGGCAGCAGGCAAGGGAGGGGGATTGCGGCCTGCCATTCCTGCCTGCCTCCTGCTGCCTGTTTCCTTGCCTCTGCCTCGCTGCCTTCTGCTGCCAATTCCCCTCTGCCTTCTACAGCCTTTGCAGCCACCCCCTGCCCATCTCCTGCAGCCACTCACAGCCTCCCTGCCCGCACAGCCTTCCCCCATCCTATGGCAGGGTCTGTACTGGGACAGAACCCACAGGAGGGGGAGGTGGACCCCTGGGAAGGTCTCCTCTGCTCTCCTCTGCCATGGGTCCTGATGCTGGGGTCTCCCCATGGTCCCCACCCTGGCCAAGGCCACCCCCCAACGCCGCAGCACCCACCTTGGGCACACACTGGTATTGGAGAGGAAACAGCCCGGTGGGCACAGGGAGCATGGCTGGGGGGCCATGGGGAGTGTGGCTGGGGGGCAAAGGCCGAGGGAGAGGCAGGTGCCAGGATCCGGCCCTGTGGGCAGCATCGGTGCCCTGGGAGGGTGGCCCTGGGGAGCACTGTAATGGTATTTTGAGGGCAGAAGGACAGGACACAGGGCAGGGCAAGGGCACAGGGCATCCCACCAAGGTCACTACCAAGTCCCCAGGCCTCTACATAGGCGAGGGGGACTGTGGTGGGGGGACCTGTGGCAGCCCTGGAGACGAGGGGGAGCAGG